ATCTCCTCTTTCAGGATTCCATTTAGATAGGCGCCTTTGACGTCCATCTGTTGGATTTCCCAATCGAGGATTGCAGCTAGCCCTAGGACAGCTCGTATCGTCTCAAGGCAGACCACGGGCGAGAACGTCTCCGTGTAGTCCATGCCAGGGATCTGTGAGTAGCCTTTTGCCACTAGACATGCCTTGTATTTGATTACCTCACCTTCCTTGTTGGTCTTCTTGACCAGGACCCATTTGTTGCCTACCGCTTTGCGGTCTGGGGGTAGATCTACAAGATCCCATGTCCCCATATCATGCAGTTGCTTCATCTCAGCTTGCACTGCTTGCTCCCAATGGGGCCATTCTGGTGAGTTCTTCGCATCCTGTAATGATTTTGGCTCATCTGGATCCATAGAAGTGCACATGGCCTGGTAGATTACTTCGGCAGATGCAGCAGCATCCATGTCATCGTCATCTGCCTCAGGATCATTGAGGAGCCGATAGTTCGGACGCGCGATCTTTCGTTTTGATCTCCGAGGTTCTTCAGGTACCTGCGCTTCTTCCACTTCGATGTGCTTTCGCTTCTTCGGATCGGAATGCGGCGCATTCTCGGTGGAAGACTCCCCCTCGCGCGTTTGATCCGGCGCGGACTCCCCCTGTAGCTCCGGTGTGTCGGTTGTCACAGAGAGTGGGAGCTGTGAAGCGGGCGCAAAATGATAATTGCGCGAAGTTTTCACAGCGCGTGTGGACGCGTCGTAGTAGCGGATGGCGCGCGGTCCATCTAGATAGCCAACGAAGGTGTACTTCATGGCGCGCGGTGCTAACTTCAATAAGTTAAGTGCTTCATTTAGCACCCATACGTCGGATCTGAATTCGCGTAGAGATGCAATATTAGGCTTCCGCGTGTTCCATTTCTCGTATGGCGTCATGTCAGGTAATGCGCGCGTAGGTGTGTGATTCTTGATGTACGCGGCATGACCCACTGCTTCTGCCCACAGATAGCGTGGAATGTCACGTGCGTAGAGCATAGCGCGTGCGCGTGATAATAACGTGCGGTTTAGATGTTCCGCAATCCCATTCTGGGATGGGGAATAAGGCGCAGTAGTGCCTGTTTCAATTCCTCGGGATTGGCACCATTGTGTCAAGTCGTTATTTAGATATTCGCGTCCGTTATCCATTCGGAGCTGACGACGCTGAGTCCCATAACGACGGTCGAGATTTGTCAAATAAAATTTGACTTTCTC